CGGCCATCCAACATATTTACCTTCAGGCCCTGCTTGTGACCCACAACGTGTGCGTTTGTGATGATGAGGCCGGTGTCATCTACGATGAACCCAGAGCCAGTCGAAGAGACGAGTTGGAAGAAGTTCCTGAGGTGGGAGGCAAAGGCGAATAAGAAGAAGGTGTGACAAAAAACATAAAACTGGCAGAAGCGACCTAAAAACGTACCCCGAACTCGTGAGAGAAACAACTGCGGGCGCCACGTCCTCGACAACATCAGCGACCACGTCCAACGACTTAATGGCGGCCAGGCGTTCTGGAGGGAGGTGAGACTTCGGTGGAACGGTGGCGTCCGCGCATTGCACTGTGGGGAATGGTTTGGGGAGAAAATCTCGGTCCTCATCACGATCGCTGAGAAAAGAGGACACCAGAAAGGGCGCAGTCAGTGAGGCAACGGCGACAGGGATTCCGGAGGATGTCTCGCCTTTGTCGTCCTGCTTCTGGCGAAATCGGGCGGAAGCAGTGGCGAGATGAGTTGAGGAGCTGGCGGTGAACCGTGCGGAGGGGAAGGCACGGGCTGCCCAGCGCTGCAGACAGTTCCTGAGTGCAGACGACTAGTATACAAAAAACGTTACTTAATACAAATAAGTAGGGAGAGAATGAGTTCGTGCACGCAGGGTAGGAAAAGACAGCCTTGATAGGAAGAACAACCTCTGGTCTGCACAAGGCCGAAGACGAACCACTGTGCACATGATCACGACAACACAAAATAACGAAGCATGATCATAGATATGGTCGTTTTCCAGCCACCATAACACACTCAAGTTGGGAATATTGTCGAGGAGGCTAGCCAAAATGCGACAGCCACCTCGCCGGGGAAGATCAAAATGATTTCTTCCGACGGAATAAAATTAGCAAATGATACTACAAGGAGCGATATGTGCTACTAAAGACCGTGTGTTCAGGAATATAATCAGAATAGAGCGATGGCACACGTATTCCAGGAAGAACAGTACTTCAACACAAATAATGTCCTACTCTTCTGGTGTTGTGACACGGTTCTCCTTTAAAATATTTGATTCCAACCGAAACCATATGATCGGAGAGTTTACGTCCGTTTTCAGTCGGGTTGACGCAGTGGCAAAAACCACGTGGTCTAGCCGGTGCCAAACATCTCTTCTTCCTCATCAGTAGGGCCAAAAAGTTGCACGGAAGCTTCTCCGCCGTCGACCGCGATGCATCGATAGCAGGCAAAAACCGGTAGAGACTTTTTTCCCCGGACCGACGATTAGGGGCGCGCCAAGGAACGAGGATGGAGCTGCAAACTGCAGAAGTCAAGATCCGACTGGAGAGCGAAATAAAAGTTGTGCTTTTGGTGATGGTGAATTGGGCTGCAAACACGCCTGGGAGCAAGCAAAGGATGAATGTTCGGGAAATGGCTCGAGTCCGATTCTACGGTCTTCTCTCCTCCACCAGCAGAAAAGCGCACGGGTTGGCAAAGCGGCTGTTTCTACATGACCGAGAGCACTGACTCTGAGATTACGTCTCGACGAAAATGTCGTCGAAGGAGGAGTGAACGAACCAATGGGACCAAGATTCGCCAAATGCAGCAGTTGATAGAAATACCCCACGACGGGTTGTTCTGAAGCAAAAAGGGAAGTCAGACTGGATCACGGCACGCGTTAATCGGGTTGTGCAGAGTTCATGCGAATCCGTAACTACAGCCGTACATGAACGTGCGGCAGGCATTAGGCGCAGGTCTCCACGCTACGTCAGTAACTGAGCCTAATTCCATCAATACGTTATCTGACAGGCCCAGAGAGTCGACTATTGCATTGGTCAGGGAAGAGGGAATGAAGCAGACACTGGGGAGTCCATTCCTACGGCACTGCAACGCGCTAAACGTCATGGCTTGGGAGGTTGCCAACTAACGGTGTAACTCAGATCTCGCAGTGGATCCTCTGCGGAGTGGTCGACTTATGGACTGTGAGTAGGGCCCAACGGTCCCCTCATAATATGCCCAAACGGGCTATCATCCGTGTGAGATCTGGGTAAAATCCTGGGGAGCTCTGGGGGGACCGGGCCGAGTGAGTGCGGCAAGCGCAGACAGGAGGGGGGGCAAGTCTCCGCACCAGATGACCAACCGGTTCGAACAGTGGCCTGATGCCTGGGAGAGGGAAAAGAAAGTGAAATCGACCCTGGAGACTCTGTCCCCATGACACTTAGCGCATATCTCTCAGTATATACAATCTGACGTGCCCTTACCCAATCACGCTGTGTTAAAGGGCGTGGCTTGAACGACAGTCAACTCGGTCTTCCCGTCAAGACGCAGTCAGCACGGAATGGCTTCATGTGACCTCCGTGGCACTCACACTGGGTTAGGATCCGAGCGGCCAATTTATTGTTTTGACGGAAACCTGGCCGGTTGTGCGATAACCAGGTGTGTGTGGCAGGTGTACAGGGGCTGTGTAGCTCTGCCACCCACTGCGCTCGATACCGCCTGCGGACCCAGGCGCGTGGATGAGAGGGTGCGATAGATGCCGCGAAAACCAACTTCCACGATAAAATTAGTTCACGTGCGCCCACCACGCTGTGGGACAGACGGTGGACATCATCGGCAACGACGGTCACACCGTCAGATTGGAAAGCACACGGCTCCCTCAAAATGAAAGGCCCCCGTGGGGGACATCAGGTCATCCTGAATGACGGCCGGCCACGGCGCGCAAATATCTTTTGGTTCGGCACAGTTGAGGCCACCGTGACCCCGCACTTCTCCCCCCCTCTCTCTCTCTCTCTTTCCCTCCTTCTCGGAAAGCGACAGCTGTTTCTGCAGCCTGCGCATATGTTTTTAGGCTTAGAAAGTTGCGCCCTAAGACTGGCGACATCAGACCAAGGTGCAGCAGGCGCAGTCAACAATTTGTAGAGACGTTTTGCCGACAGAGCGGAGTAAAGAATAGAGGAAAAGGGGTTAGCAAAGTTCACGCAGTGGCAGACATCTGGTTCTGCAGATGACGGCGACAAGTGTTGAGACCAGTTCGTATTTACTAGAAAACTTGGTAGTGTCACACAACATCCCATGGAGGAACCTAAGTGCGATGGAGGTGTGTTTCACGATACCGCTGCGAAACAAAATGATCCCTTTTTGGCACTGATTTTCACACGTAACGATCAATAATAAAAGATTCTGTAGCGACAGAAGTTCGAGGCAGTGGACTGAAGAGGCTGAGCTTCCTTGTGATGATGATGATGGTGATGATGATGTTGTTGTTGTTGTTGATGATGATGATGATGATGATGGTGGTGGTGGTGGTGGTGATGATGATGATGATGATGATGATGATGATGATGATGATGATGATGATGATGATGATGATGATGATGATGAGAGTTCGACCGTAACATCCGCGATGTTCACCGTGTGCTCCACAGCAAGGTGCAGCAGGCACGGTGACTTACGCAGTATCTACCGTACCCTCCCCCCTCCCCCCACCTTGCTTCGGTGTCAAGACAGCGCAAAGAAGACCGGGGGCAGGGGAATGCGCAGATTGCTGGCGCGGCCGGACCCGCACCTTGGCGCTTCACTCCACACCTGCTGGTCCACAGCAAACACTTGGCCAGGATTTTGACCCAAAAACAACAACGGAAAAGACGTGGATGACTGGGCAGCTATGCGTACGACCCAGCGGGGGCGCAAGCGCATCTACCGCCTTCAGGTATCTGAGAACAGCCAGCGCACGCTAGGCTGCGAGGGCCATGGTTTGCTGATCATGTCATAGCTTCCTTGTACTATACCATAATCTGACCACGACCGAAAGAGGGCTATGGACACCGTTTGGTGGTCCGCTGTGGGATAGATGTGTTGATAGTATCCGCATGTCTGTCTGTGACTTTACTTGAAAGAGATACAAGACCATGGCCAGCATACAGGAACGCCCAACTAGTTTTGCATGCAAAAGAAGACACCAAAAATGGCGGCAACCTTCAGGATGACCTAATATTTAGCTGGCGTCGCCTCTTCGGCAGCCATGTCCAACTGTTGCTGATGTTGAGCGGAGATCTATAGATGCCAAGCAGGTGGAAGCTTGAGCACTTCATGAGGAAGCAGGTGGTCCCCCACTCGCAGCCCGCCATCAGAATAGTTTGCTTGAATATCCTAACCCAATCGGTGTCAGCCCATCATATTGTGAATACGAGTCCGGTTACCGCCCTCAATGAGTGATGAAAACCCCACTGTACGGTGCAGTCAGTCGATCGACCTCAACTGTGGGCCACTTGCACGCCGGCAGCCGTCTTTGTCTGGCCGTCCACATGATCTGTCGCCTGGCAGGCTTAAACAGTTGGCTGATGCATACAGGAAGGGGCGAAACTGACCCCAGCATTCACTCTCTAACAGAACACAACGAGCTAACAGTCGCGCGGCTCGGAATGCTACAAACTGGCAGGATGGTTCAGTCCCGCCCAGCCAGACTGCAATGACTCCCTCTTTAATGTGGCCTTTGCGTCGCCTTTGAGCATGCAAGGTCCCGACTGCCCTTGGGACAGTCTGGCACATCTGGAGTGCGGTCTGGGTCGTGTGTGGCACGCATAGACGGGCTGCTTAGTTTTGTCATCCACTGCTCCCGAGTCCACCTCCGGCTCTTTGACTTTTCCTCGTCATCGCAGCAAGGGGGAGGAGGTCAGCAGATGCCGAGCAAGTCTGCCTCGTTATCAACTAATTCACACGCAAGTTACCGCTGCTGTGTCTACCACCTAGGCCAGTGATGGGAATCGTTGTAGTGTCTGGTAACAGGTGTTGGTCGGACACATAAGCCAGAAGAAGTCAGCTTTCTTAGTCAGTACTGTCCTTGGTTAAACTCCTCATAAAAGTAATCCCCCTCCCGGGCCAATCAACGTTTAATGAGTTACCCTGCAACGGATGATAATGGATTACAGAGAAGCGACCTGCCATTAGTACACGACACATTCACATATGCAGCCTGAGGATATAAAATATCGGTGTCAGTGTCGGTAAGGATGCATCTATTTGCAGCCAGGCACAGAGAGCAGGTTAGTCAGCGAAAACATGATGATTGACAAGACCAGCCTCCCAACCTCACAAGGCAGCGGAGAAAAACGCAAGCATCTCCTTTATCTCGGAGAGGTGATTAAAAAGTGGGCATATAAAAACGGAAGAAGAAGAAGGGCCTCAGTGTCTTGTGAGTAAAGTATATGTATAGATATACATACGTGTATACACATATAGCGGCTACACTGTGGAGTATGTGGTCCCTGAAAGGACACAGACAGACAGTACAAGCAAAAGGGACAAGTTCAAAAGTGCACACGGACACCGCTAGTAAGTTGCCTGTAATGGCCAATTTGCCAGGACTGGCGAGTCCGTGCAGACGCGCCACGAACTGATACTGTGGACGATGAGGTCACCAAGAGATTATGAGTACGAAGACGGTGACACTAATAATGGTGGTGGCGGTGGGAAAAAGAGCGGAACGTAGAAACACGAGGGGTAGGGGTGTGAAGACAGCGGGAGGGGACTAATGCAAAAAACGTCTTCTGTACAGGCTCTTACGAAGTCAAGAGTCGAAAGGGAGGAGTGGGGATGAGGGTCGAGGGTTGCATTGGCAAGACTCGAATGCTGCCAGGTCGGAACCAGAGGATCGACTGAGCCGAACGCTGAGGGAAGGCAACTAGGGTGCCTTACGATCAAATGCCTCCAGCTCTGCACGAATCTTCTGGCGTTCCTTCAGGGTCTTCCAGGCGGCGTCACGATCGCGTTTGAGGGCAGGCCGATGGAGAACCCTGTAGCTCTCTAGTTTGTTGTACGCCTCAATGACCTGCGGTGGGAGGGGGGAGGAATGGACGATATACAGATATAGGCCATCATGAATGGCAAAGTAACCAAAAGTTCTTCCAGAATACGACCCATAAAATCCCAGACCGCATAAAAGGACGAAAAAATACGCTAGACCCCAAGCCTCAACGAAAATACAGTAGGTGGCTTAACTCACGAAATGCCAACCGAAATTCCGAAATGCGTTTTCGTCTCGAAAAGATTACTTAAGTAGGGTCAAAAAATTCATCATCATGGAGCATAATTCTATGATAATTTAGTTGCCTCAGGTTGCCGGCTTTCGAACGAACTCCCTTCCGGCGGCATGCAAAAACTGCACTCTGTAAAAAGTGACAACTTACGCAGCATGCATTTGTCTCTTTGATCTTCGATGCCCTTAAAAATTTAATAATATTTCGTGGAAAACAGGCATGAAAATATTCATTCTTTCACTCATTCAGTAGACCATTACGTCTTCTTTCAATTTTATACTTGAAGGAGGGACATAATTAGATTTTGAAAAGTTTCTAATTATGAGGATTTTAATACCGTGAAATGCCCGTTCGTAAAACATCGCGTCTCTTTATTTACTGATTTTGCTGGTAACGTTTACAATACGGCTAAAATTCACTGTTAAATTTTATGAACCCCATATGGTCTCTTTTTGATAGCGTACAGAAATGTACGGTTTTCCGTACACAGAAAATATACAGCTTGTAGTTTGGAACCCTGAATGCAATCTGTCACATAAGATCGGGTCCAACATTACTCGGGAATTGGAAAGACTTTACAAAACTAGATTACACCCTTTCTTCAAGTACGAAATGTGAAGAAAACAAGATTTTCTCCCAAACGTGCAAAAAATGAGTACTTTCATGCCTGTTTTCTATTAAATAGGTTCGGAAATCGAAAATCAATGTGGAAAATTCATACTACATAAGGAGCCATTTCTTACGAAGTGGAGTTTATGCAGGCGGCCAGAAAGATGTCCGTTCAAATGCCAACATCCTGAAGTAACTGAATTATCTTGGGATTATGTTACATGGTGATTAATACCACAACACTACTTAAGTAATCTGTCGAGTGGCAAACGCACTTCAGAATTTCGGCTAACATTTCATGAGCTAGCACACCTACTGTGCAGACTTAGAATTACTATGACAACACTGTTAAAAATGGATAGGAAAACGAAACTATCCAACATCTCAGAGCGTCAACCTCGTCAGTTCAGTCTAGGTAGTTAGGTTGGAAAGTCGATCGCCGCAGAGGTTAATTGAAAGGTGGAGTCGTAATCAGAAAAATTTGAAGCGGCCCGCATATATGAAGGCATGAAGACGCTATAAAATTACTTAAACTAAACAAACAAACGCAGAAACGGAAGTATTAGGCGCGGATTCGATTTCTACGCAACCACGCGAAACCACTCCTAGTACAGGTGCTGGCTAAGGTCTAAGGCAGGCGTCTAGCAGATATTCCGCAGCTGCATAAGAAATTCCACAAAACACCGGGTTCCTTCAGTTCTTTCCGCCTTAAATTCCGCCCTCCAGGGTCGACTTCGAAATTTGCCCTATGTATCGTTAAAGCACATGAGAAATTAGTAATTACGTGACTCACTCGAGTGAAATTCCCATACAGCAACGTGTCGCAAATCAATTCAGTTGTACACGTAAAGGTTACTAGCAAATAACTACGATTTACGCAGAGGAAGATCCGCGTGCCACAGGGTATGAGACAGTTTCAGATTATGTTACATTTACTTAGAATCTTCGGTAAAGACTGTATATGTAAGCCTGTGCTTTTATTGCCATAGTACGTCTACTTATTTTACTTCGGTGGACATGTTATTTTAAGGCTATGTTTCTGGCTAAGCTTAAGAAAATGAATAGAAATAGGGTTATAATAAGATTAAGGTTAGGGTTAAGTTAAAGATTAGGGTTGTGAGCGGTTAAGTTTTCTGCCGCATACCACCTTACTCAATCCAATCTTCTTTAAGCGATAACCCTGAATTATCTGTTTTCCGTCCGTTTACACGCCCTGATTCGCATTTTCCAAATTGCGCGGTCTGTCTCGCTACCCCGGTGGAGTAATAAAACAAACGTATAGCAGAAATATGAGTTTTCTCAATGCCTTTCACAGACACCCTTAACTACTGCGCCCATCTGTCTAATCATGAAAAGAAATATTAACAAAAGTTTCTGCGCTTTATTTTCTCAGTAAGCGTATGCATCCAATCCCCGGCATGTGGTTGCGCCCGAACCCGGCCCTGACTTACAGCAGCAATGAGATAAACAACCGACGATGTCGCGAAGATACAAAATTAAGCGCCGACAGAATCAGCAATAATGAATGCTGTCACAACTCATTAGCATGAGGGGCTAGTCAGAGGAGGAGGAGGAGGAGGAGGAGGAGGAGGAGGAGAGACTTACATCCGCATCGGCGATGGCCAGTCGACGCTGGATTTCCTGACGCTGCAGGTCCCTCCGAGCTGCCTGGATGAGTCGATGCAGAACACTGTGATTTGCGGCACAGACGAGGCGTAACTCACGCTGACGCTGCAGCAGGGCCAGGGTGACATCGCTGTTGCTGCTGCTCGGTGCCAGAGCGGACAGGTCACCGCCGCCAGTTTGTTCAGTCGCAGCGGCGGCGGTGGCGGCGGCGGAAGCTGCGGCTGCCGCCAGATTCAACAGGCAGCCGGAGAGATCATCGTCGTCGTCAGGGGGGACGGTTGACGCCAGCTCGTCTAGGCGCTCACAGCAGCCACCGGCCGGTTGGCTCGGATGCTCGCCTGCAGCCAAGTCG